GGTTATATTGTAGTGAAAAGTGAAAAAAAAAACGGTTGTAGAATAACCGAGTTGAATTTAGCATTCTCAGTTTGACGTAAATTATTTATTTATTACAGACAGTTAATGGATTTTGAAGTATATTATACATTATTTAAAGTTTCTATATGAATAACATAATTTTTACATTAATTTCATTGAAAATTTAAGTTGTATACTGTGGACGTTTGTTCCAAATGATGTTATGTCGCATCTAACCGATCACGCGGAGCGCGGTTCGTCGGATTCCGAACCGGCGCGCCGGACCACTAGCCGTGTAAGATAACCTTTATAAATGAACGAAAAGTTTTTAATTATCTAATACTTACGTATATTGAATAAAAAATCCATTCCTAAAAATTATATTGAGTCGTAAATTACTCCGTTAATACTAAATTTAATATCCAAAATATTCTTTCATGAATTCGTAACAGCAATTAGCATATCTATCTACATAATTGCTGTTAAAATGAAATAATGGAAAATTAAAAATAGTTAAAATAAAAGATAAAAATAGATTATAATCGACTCCATATTTCAAATACAATGTTGGTTTATTTACTTTTAACGAAGCGAAATTGTTGACCTCAAATAAAAGCACCATGTAGTCATAATAATTAATTAACAGTTGCTTATTAACTGAACGAGTTTAATATAAACAATAACAAAATTAAATAGTTATAATGACAAAATCATCAATAATTAAAAAATTCCGATCGAAACGAATCGTCATATAATTATGATAATATCAATAAAGTGTCTACACCGATTGCGATTGTGAAACTTGTATTGCATCTTCATTCATTTCCATCGCGTTATTAAAGTTCAGTGATAATTAGCATAACCATTCACATTATGTATAAATAAGTATTTTACAGGTGAGAATCATTTTTAGCAATTTCCACCAATTCATGTGGTTCAGCGTTTAGTTTGTCACCAGGTACAGTACGTCCAAGTTCTCCAGCACTCATGTGATCCACTATTTTTGCCGCCAACGCATCACACATAACGTTTATAGTGGTTCGAAAACGGTCCCTGGAAATTAATGCTAATTTTACACGTATCCGTTGTTATTGCCTGTTTTTTTTTATCAGATTTTTCAAGCATTAAAAATTCATTCAAATAAATATGTGCTGGTACTATGAGGTGTACTTAGGTCATATTATATTAGGTTTCGAAGGAAATTAAATTTACTGTTTCTGTAATTATTTATATTGAATAAATGAATACGTTGAAGAAGAAAAAGTATCAAAAGTTACCGATTTTCGACATCTAGGAAGTCATATAAGTTAGTATGGGGAAAGGGGTAGAGACATAAAAAAAAAAGATTTGCCTTCAACAAAAAAGAATAATGATCGTAAATGGTTAAATCAAAAAGTGTTTATTTGGAGAACAATTCCGTAGGGGTGCGAAACTTAGACGGTGGTGTAGCGGATGATGAAAATACAGCGGATGGAAAAGGTTAGAAATGAGGAGATACTGAAAAAAGTAAAGAACAGAGGGCACTAAAAAAGTTTATAATAGTTAGTAAAGCACCTTCTAGGATATGAAGGTCTAGTTAGAATCATGTTAAAAGTAAAACTAAGAACAAAGAAGAGCAGTGAGGAATCTATCGGGTTGTTCGGAAAGTCATTTCGTTTTTTCCCGACAGAGGATTTAAATGTATTCTTTTGCGCCCAACTTCACATTTAAGCCGTATAATTTTTATATGCTTTGAGAGCTCATATAGCAAGGCTTGTGTGTGAAAAATTCCAATTAATTCTACGCACTAGTTTTTGGTTGGTGCCCTTTTAAATATGGAGAGCGATAAGAAGCATTTTCGACATATCTTACTGTTTTACTACAGAAAGTAAAAATGCTGTTCAAGCCAGAAAGAAATTACTGATGTGTATGGAGAAGGTGTGTTGACAGTACGCCAGTGCCAGAACTGGTTCGCTAAATTTCGATCCGGCAATTTTGATGTCGAAGATGCACCACGTTCGAAAAGGCCGGTTGAAGCTGATAAAGACGCGATAAAGGCATTAGTTGATGTGAACCGGCGAATAACAACACGTGAGATCGGATTGAGGTTAAATTTATCAAATTCAACAGTTTATGACCACTTGAAAGGCCTGGGATTATCCTCGAAGCTCGATGTATGGGTTCCCCATGTTCTCACAGAGAGAAATCTGTGTCGCCGCATTGACGCCTGCGATTCGCTTCTCAACCGTCACGAAAATGATCCGTTTTTGAAGCGCATCATCACTGGGGACGAAAAATGGGTTGTATACAACAACGTCAAACGCAAGAGGTCATGGAGCAAAAAAGATGAACCGGCTCATACCATTTCCAAAGCCGATATTCACCAAAAAAAGGTGACGCTGTCTGTTTGGTGGGATTTTAAAGGAGTCGTTTTTTTTGAGCTTTTACCGGATAACACAACGATTAATTCGGAAGTCTACTGTCATCAGCTGGACAAACTGAATGATGCACTTCAACAGAAAAGGTCAGAACTAATCAACAGGAAAGGTGTAGTGTTTCACCAAGACAACGCGAGACCTCACACAAGTTTGGTCACTTGCCAAAAGCTTTTACAGCTTGAATGGGATACAATGCTACACCCACCATATTCTCCAGATCTGGCACCATCGGATTATTATTTGTTTCGGTCACTCCAAAATTTTTTAGACGGTAAAACCTTCACCTCAAATGAGGAGGTCAAAAACCTCCTCGATCAGTTTTTTGCCAGCAGAGACCAAAAATTTTATGAGCGTGGAATTATGGTACTACCGGAAAGATGGCAAAAGGTGTTGGACTAGAACGGTCAGTATAAAATTTAATAAAGTATTTGTTTATTATACGAAAACTGTCTTTCATTTCCACAAAAAAAAACGAAATGACTTTCCGAATAACCCTATAGATTAGATATAATACTGCAAATTAGAGATGTAGAATCTTCTAGTTATCGAGAAATGCGAAAATTGGCTGAGGATAGGAAGAACTGATTAAAATTTAGTATTGTTATCTACGATCTTCTTATCAGTCAAAATTTAACTTTGTGCCAGATGACAAAAGATTGCCGCATTTGCTATTCTAAATATTTGACCTTTCAATTCATTTGCAAGCAGATAGACAAAAAAATAGTAATGGACACTTACAGCAACCAATCAACTGCAATAATTATGACGATATTATTTTTGGCCGGAAGGCCAACTGTATCCAACACCATCACCATAGTAACAAGACCTGCTTGGGGAATTCCCGCTGCTCCGATGCTAGCTGCCGTTGCAGTAACACTGAAGAAAATAAATTATTATTAGTGAACAAATAAAAAAATTACTTTTTTACTGTGGCGTAACCTCATACCAGACAAAGTAAAGATTAGGTTCAACGTGAAAATTGTTTTCTTAGATTTTGAGGAATTTAGTATCTATGTTATTTCTGTCTTACCAAACAGCTACTGCTTGGCCGAATCCTAGTTGTACTTGTCGAATTTGAGCAATAAAAATTGCAGCTACAGCTTCATAAAGTGCAGTGCCGTCCATATTAATAGTTGCTCCAATGGGGATAACGAATCTGGTAACCCTGGGATCTACCCCCATTTTGTCCATTGTTCGGATAGTTACTGGCATTGTGGCAGAACTAAATGATAAAATATAATACAAATCTAACTACATCAACTGACTCAAAATCATTGAGAAATTGGTCCAAACTCAGTGTTCCAAAAATATTGGTTTACATACTTTTCAGGTTTCCTTAACACATACATACATTTTTTGAAAATGAAACAACACTTACCTAGAAGCTGTTCCAAAAGCAGTTGCCAAAACCTGACTCATCCCAGCAATGGTTTTGAACGGCAACGTTCTCGTACAAACGAAGTAGATGATCGATAATGTCACGAAACCATGAATAAATAGACCAAGTAGCACTGTAAAGAAGTACATTCCGAGCTGGCCCACCAAAGCAGCAAAGCTTTTTATTTTCAGCACTTGAGCTGTCACCAAGAAAAATACACCAAGAGGAGAGAGCCTAAAATGATGCCATTGTATATAAGAAGATATACAATAATTTGGCTTTTCGTAGATCAGCTGATAAGTCTATATTCCAACTATTATATCTAGAAAACAGCCGTTTTACTTAATAAAAAAGCTTTGATATTCGAATTTTCATTTGAGATGCTGATACGTTTTAAGCATTTTTTCTACTTAAATATATATCCCATCTTCCACACCATTTTCTGCATACCCTCATAAAATTCATTACGCGTTTCTTTCCATTTCTTTTGATTACATTATTTTTAAAAACAAAGTATATTCAAATCATTAACTTCAAAACCCCATCTCATTCTTACGACTTAAATAACTATCTTTACCCTTAATAAATCGAATAATCTTTTCTACAAAGTTACTAATAAAAATATTCCAATATTTTTTAAACAAAAAAATTTTGACGAAAGTAGTTTGGTATTCCTCTCAAAAATATGTCCTTTTGAATCCTTTCAGAATGCAACAATGGTGGGATAATCCTGAACATATGTATGTAGCTTACCGGACTTACCATATAACCCAACCTGTAATCATCATCATAGCCTCACTAAGGGCATCAAAGAATGCCAACAAGGGTGCACCCTGTTCTCCCATTTTACCGATAGTTATACCAAAAACAATGCTGAACATTACAAGTCCAAGAACGTTAGTGGTTCCTTCATAAACTTCAGTAAATTCCATATCTTGCAATGGTTCTAAAAATACGAGACCCTGCTTGTAATTTTCCAAACAAAATTTTCTATTTACAGCTTTCCAGCTTACAGAAGAAAAATAACATGCATAATAATTTAATCTTATTGTTTTTATATTAAATTTTTAAATTATTAGATCATCTTTCAGAAAAGTCAAGGTTTTAATCTGCATAAACTATAAAAAGATATAAATGCTAATTACACTTATATATACATAACTTTGACACACTTTTGCAGACAACACCTTTCAATATCAAGCAATAAATAAATCAATTAGCAGTTTAATCGAGAGAGCAAAATGGATGTTAACCTAAATAAAAACTGTACAACTTTCTTCTATACAGCAAATATTTAGTTATAATTAAAAAGATTCATAGTAGAAAGGGATGCTCATGTGGCTCTATGTTAGATACATTTTGAACCAACCCCCCCCCCCATTTCCCTACAAATTTCTACAAGTTTATCCCTGGACCCCCTAGAACAGGTGGTCTATTTAACATATTTAAAATGAAGTTTTCATTGAAATTTTATTTTGATTGTATTTTTATTTAAAAATAGTAAACTTAGAGGGTTGGACATTCTTGTAAACAACCTATTACAGAAAATACGTCAACTTTAATCTAACTACGTCTGTTGATCCATTTGTACATCCTCTTATTTGATCCACCAACAAATTATTAGATATACTTACTGGTGCAATTGTTGAAGTTGGTTGGATCACAAACCCCCGGTGGAATTTTAAGATGCGTTTGAGACTGTAAATAAACCGTAATGTTAATATCAAAACGATTCTACAGACTTTACGAATTTTGTTGTATTTTTTTATCTCCTACTTAATAGAATACATTGATGATTAAACTCTCAATCTTTAATACTAATTAATAAAAGCCACTTTGTCAAATGTTACTAGCAATATCAAATTGATATTTATCATGATTTATTCTGTAGTGATAACTTAATAGGTAAAATTAATGCAATATTTCTTGTTTAATTATTTAATGGAAGATTACCACAGTAAGTGAAGGTTTTGCGCAAAATTATTTTTCCTGAATTTTAAATTTACAACTAACGAAAAATATACAACTGAGCAATGTCTAGCGAAAACAAAACCATGCAACACTTCCTAAAAAGTTGCCAAAACTTCCTACTCTTTGTTGCATTACTAACATACACTGATTAATTCTTTTTACTCTTACGGGATAAATTATACATTTTTTTTTAATTTTTGACGAAATAATTCTGATAAAATATTGTTTGGCTTTAGTATCCTTCGGTATGAAACCGAGTACGAAGGGAGAAGAAGGAGAATAAGGTAGTAGGAAAAGCTTCCGTCCCACAGAAATTTTTAATTGTTTCTTTTTTTAATTTTAAATAAAAATTGTTTCATTTATTATGTGCTACGTACCTATAATGTAGGTTACGTTCCCTGTTCCTTCATTTTATGGAAAAGCCCTCAGCTGAGGGGTACGTTTCCTACCCTGTTTTTCTCAGGCCAAGATACTCATCATGTTTTAAAAATAGCAATATTTGTAGAATAACTTCAAAAACTATTTTTTTTATTCTCGCTTCCGCCGGTCAGAGGATAGCTTTAAACTTTTTCTACACTTCTCGATTACCCCTTCCTTCTCCTACCCGTTATCATGACTCAGAACCAGAGTCGTAACCAATTGAGCTTTTCTTAGCAGCTAACCCGAGCTAGCTAAGGATTTCGAAATCTCTCGGCATAGTGTCAGAGTTGCAGTGATCGACCGAAAGTTCGGTTTCGGAAAAAAAATCTAGCTTCGGCATCAGTTTCGATTTCGACAAAAAATCTACCGAACCTTCGGCCGCACTGAAACTCTGCGTACGTGATTATGAACGCAACTGAAATATTCAATTAATGAGGTCCCAAACAGCAGATTTTAACATGTCTGAAAAAGTTTCGGTTTCAGCCGAAACTGAAACATATACCGAAGATTCGATTTCGGTTTCTGTTTCGGTAGAAAGTCCTGCTTTGGTCGAACACTAACTGAGTTGTATACTGTTAATAGTAATATCGAAATTTAGCATCATCAAATGTAACACTCGTTTGTAATAAATTCCTAAAAATCCCATGTGGATATTGCAACCAAATTGACACAAGGAAAAATTCATCACAATCATGAATTTCCACTAATCGAAATAGCAGCAAAATTTTATATTTTTTGTCATATTTATTTATTAATATACATCGATAACATACCTGGTATATGGTAGCTTGAACCAGATTTGGAGGAAATAGATTTCTGAAACAAAAATATACCTGTATCTTCATATATATTAAGTTTATAAAACCTATTTTTAAGTAACGAATGATTTTCGTTTCTATTTTTAATTTTACATAATTAATCCTTAACAAATTTTTGTTACTAATTAAAATAATTATCCGTAGCAACTCACTGTTAATTTATATTTATACGTATAGCTTGAATAAAACGTAAACATAACATTGAAAAGCTTGTTCAATAGTGGTCATGGTCAGTAAGTAAGCAGGAAATATTCATTACGCAAAGTCTTGAGAAACAAATCGTGAATAGTAAAACGATTGATGAAGTTTTCATCACAGCAGCTACATATAATAGATATACTAGGTGCTGTTCATTTTTCTCCAAATAAATTAATGTACGTACATACATACATACATACATACTTACTGCATAACCTACTGGAGTTAATTATCATACAAAGAATAAGAGATTGAATAATTTTATTTCAGTTAGGTATTCAAATGGAAATAAACAATGCAAAACACAGAATACACACAGCTATTACATAATCGAAACTGTAAAAGTAGGTAACCATTTTTTGCAATATTATTGTCTAATTCACGGAAAATATATTGTACATGATATTCTTGATTCGAAAAGGAACGGAATTACCGATAATGTACTAAGTTAATCAATTATTTATTTTCATCATTTACTTATCTTTCCAATTTTATGTATTTTTCGAAACATACCAAATTCATAGTACTACTATCACATACTTTGTTAAGTACTACTGCCGCTTACTGTACGGTGAGGCAGAAGTAGAAACTTGCTACTGGACTTATGCACAGTAGCGGTCATCAAGGTCATCGTTGCCCACGTGTATAAAAACTTTAAAAACATCAAATTAAATAGGGAATTTTTTCAGATTATAATTTGTATTCATCATCATAAGGTCGTCAGTCCTAAGACTGATTGGACAGCCACCTCCACTCTTTCCTATACTGAGCTAATCTTCGCATTTCCTTAAAACCAAAACAACCCACATCTTTAACTATTCCCGTTTCTGCCTCTAATATGTCTCCGACTAGACCTTCATGCCTGAGAAGGTGCCCTATCAACCTATCTCGTCTATTTCTTATTGACTTCCATAGAGTCCTCTGTTCTCCTATTCTTTGTAATACATCTTCATTTCTATATAATTTGTATTAACTTAATTTAATTTGATAAAATCTCATATAGTTTTTGATTGATTAACTGCGAAATACACCTTTAAAATTGTGGTGGCTTTTATTTTCCGATCAACAGTGTGGCCCTTTCTAAACCTTGTACTTTTTATCGAAACCTCGAATTGTAATGTACCGAATTTGTTTGTTTGAGTGTCCTAATTCCTTAATTTATTCGAAATATTGCCACACTGAAACCTGTTTGCTTTAACAGTGGTATTGACGCAGTTAAAAATATCAAAGGCATTCATTTCCAAAAAGGAAGGCACATGTTAATAATAAATTTCAATTCAATACAAATTTTAAAAATTTGAGCAAATTTATGGAAAATAAACACAAAAAGTAGTAACTAATGTAATAGTAAAGTATCTGAATCAATAAGAAATTAAAAGGAATAAAATGTGTTTTCAGAGTTTACTGTTAATTTACTCAATTACCACTTTTTTCTTCAAAAAAAAAAACATCTGGTTCACTAATATGATTATAGGTTGGTACCGAATTAGAATGAAACTTAATTTCCTTACTTAAAATGGATAGAATACATATAACTCAAAATGATAATAAGAACGCGACGAAGATTCTTCTAATTAACTAAAGTCCATAAAAGGATATTTCGTATTAAACTTTTTCTACACTTCTCGATTACCCCTTCCTTCTCCTACCCGTTATCATGACTCAGAACCAGAGTCGTAACCAATTGAGCTTTTCTTAGCAGCTAACCCGAGCTAGCTAAGGATTTCGAAATCTCTCGGCATAGTGTCAGAGTTGCAGTGATCGACCGAAAGTTCGGTTTCGGAAAAAAAATCTAGCTTCGGCATCAGTTTCGATTTCGACAAAAAATCTACCGAACCTTCGGCCGCACTGAAACTCTGCGTACGTGATTATGAACGCAACTGAAATATTCAATTAATGAGGTCCCAAACAGCAGATTTTAACATGTCTGAAAAAGTTTCGGTTTCAGCCGAAACTGAAACATATACCGAAGATTCGATTTCGGTTTCTGTTTCGGTAGAAAGTCCTGCTTTGGTCGAACACTAACTGAGTTGTATACTGTTAATAGTAATATCGAAATTTAGCATCATCAAATGTAACACTCGTTTGTAATAAATTCCTAAAAATCCCATGTGGATATTGCAACCAAATTGACACAAGGAAAAATTCATCACAATCATGAATTTCCACTAATCGAAATAGCAGCAAAATTTTATATTTTTTGTCATATTTATTTATTAATATACATCGATAA